AAAAGACAATCGCTTAAGCCCAGGAGTTTGAGGTTGCTGTGAGCTGTGAGGCCATGGTACTCTACCAAGGATGACATAGTGAGACTGTCTCAAGAGCAAACAAACAAACAAAACAGCCCAAATAGGGACAAAGATGGAATTTTGGTTATTTCATGAAATGCTGAATTCATAATTTATGATTTCTGCATCTTAACTATTTCTCTGATTAGTGCCTTCCAAACACTGAAGGCCATAGCCCTTAGTAAAAAACGTGCATATGTGCATTGGTACAATGTCTTCTTATTTTTCTATTCTTTCTACTCTACTTTTTAAATAATGTTTACTATTTACTAACTAGACTACCAGGTACAGACAAGTCACAATCCTAAGTTCTAAAACAATGTCCTGGGTTAAATACATGCATACTACCTAGGAAAAGAAAATTAGGCAAAGTCTTCCTTCTTAAATTAAGAAAGAGTGAGGGTAAGCATGGGATTAATGGGGAGATATTACTAATATATAATTGAAGCAAATTTATTTCAATTAGCTGTAAGTATTAATTTCAAAGCAAATACTGAATCACTGAAACACAATCACTACAAGAAAGCAATCAACCCAGAGTAAGTCCTGTCTTCTATCTAAAATAATAATTCCCAGATGTGGGAAGAAAAAAGTAGATAAGAGCATTATCATAAATTAATAGGATAAAAGGATGTGATATAAAGATTTTATATAAAACAAAGCATGATAAAAGCAGTACTATAAAACAAAAATTTTAAGTAGGACGCAGCTGAAACTAGAGATAGAACCTACAGGAAAATCCAAGATCAATATTTAAACTGAGCCTACTGTGTGATTAAGACTAATGAGAATAAATCTTTGCATAAAAATCCAAATTACCAGAAAGTTCCCTAATAGACAAATACGTTAGGATATGTAAATTGACTATTTACAGCTATTATCCAACCTGTGGCCTGCAGACCTCATGCTGATTTTTTGCAGGCTTTCTGCTTATCTGTGGTGTTGAATGCCACAAAAATTATGCATGGACCTTTTTTTCACTAATCAGCTTTCATTAGCAGTTAGTGTTTGTGTATTTTAGCCTGTGGCCCAAGACAACTCTTATTCCAAGGTGCAGCAGAGAAATACAAAAGTTAAACACCCCCGATTCAACTCTTGACATGAAAATGCTATAAACAAATTTATATTTGAGCACTAAAAACCGTTCATCCACGCATTCATTCACTCATCCCCGCAACCAACATACTACATTGAACATCTCAGAGTGACAGAGAGGGTCTGGAAACATGAGGGTGAATAAAGCTTCCCTAATGAAGCTTATACTTTAGTGCAGAAAGCAGGTGTACTATAAATAAAGAAGTAAAACAATTAAACTTCACAAATATCCTAACAGAGAAAACTGTAATTGGAAACACAGAAGTCAAGTTCCTTATAGCTGGAGATACACGTCAGGTCAAAAGACAAAGAAACGGGAAAGAAATCCACTCAAATGCCTCGGTTCCTTGCACCTTCCAATGTATACTTCCCCTCAAAAGGAAATGGTTGGAGCTGAAGAAACAGAAAAAAGTGGCAACAAGAGATGAAAGCGTGAAGAAGAGATGAATATGGGTACTAGCTCAGCCAAGTTACAGGCCAGGACCCATGGGAAAAAATGCAATGTTGAGGAAAGTGCTCGAGAACTAGAGTCAGATTCCAGTCCATGCTGCCAGTTCTGTCACTCATTAGCTGTGTAACCTAGATAAACCTCCTTGGCTTTTACTAGTAAATGGAGATGATGGTATTAGCTATCTCTAGGAGTACAGGGGCGACTAAATGAGATGGTATATAAAAGAAAGGAACTAGATGTGCTGGACAGACAAAAAAAAGAGTAAGTCGCTCTTACTCCAACTGTCTCCACAAACTTCAATTTCATCTTCATAAAACAGTCATAACGAGGCTTTACTGAGCCATCCACAGTGCTGAGAACAAATAAATTAACACAGGAAAAGCATGTATATATTTAGCATATTCAACAATGATTTTTTTCACCTGCTCTTTACAAACAGAAAATTAAATGGAAAACATAAGAATGAAAGTTGCTTATGTTTCTAATAATAATGGTTATAGAGTTTTGAATCCCTTTGCATTTTTTTCTTATGTTTTTTCCAAGCCTGTAGGTATCAAGGAATTTCACGGGGGTGTGTGGTGGTGGTGGTGGTGGTGTTTCTTAGCTAACCACTGAAAAAGTGAATTTCTATAGTATACACCCAGGGTAGAAGAAATGCCTAATAGTGTTTCCTAGAATGAAACAGGAGTGACCTTTAAATCTATAATATAGAGAGCATTTAAAATACTCTTGCATTGTTTTGGTAAATACAGAATCCAATCCAAAGGTTGTCTGGGAAGTCACCTCCCAGCTCTTTTATACATGATGGTGATTTTATTTATTTACTTCCAATCTTTGTTCTCCCAGTTTTAGTAAGGTATAATTGACAAAAATTGTACACAAGGCATATATTTAAGGCATACCAATGATGTCTTGATATACATACATCACATACATCATGAAATAATCACCACCATAATGTAATTAACATACCCATCACTTCACACAGTTACTCTTCTTCTTTTCTTTTTTAACCTCTAAGCTCTTGTAAAAACTGCAGATTAAATCCAGCACCACGCTGGGCTATAAACTTTTATGCACACAAACTACTGGAGTGTCCCTCTCACACACATATTTTGGATAAATACAAACGTTCTACTGCCTGGCGCTCTTTTAAAATACTATGCGCACAAAAGAATCAACCATTGCAATGTTACCTTATGATGGGCAAGGTTACAATTAATTAGGTTATAGCTCATCTTAGAGTAATTACATTTTAGACTGGTGGCTCCCTGATGAGATTTCGTTATTTTCGGGAAGAGTTCCACAGATGGCTAATTCTATCAAAGTTGTTTTGATTCATGCAAGCTCAAGTTTATAATGATATTTTGACATCTGTCTTCTACTTACTGGCAGAGGGTGAGGGGTTCCTGCCATCTGAGTCCTGTTCTCTCTACCCATATTCTAAACACCTCCATAAAGCCCAGGGTAATACACACTGTGATTTTTAACACATGGACATTCAGAGAGAAAGCAGTTAAGAGATGTGATCAAGAATAGCATAACCCAGTTGGGCACAGTGGCTCATGCCTGTAATGCTAGCACTCTGGGAGGCTGAGGCTGGGCGACTGCCTGAGCTCACCGGTTCGAGAGACCAGCCTGAGCAGAACAAGACCTTGTCTCTAAAAATACCCAGGCACTGTGGTGGGCACCTGTAGTCCTAGCTACTTGGGTGGCTGAGGCAAGAGAATCACTTAAGCCCAAGAGTTTGAGGTTGCTGTGAGCTGTGATGCCAGAGAACTCTACCGAGGGCAACAAAAATGAAACTCTTGTCTCCAAAAAAAAAAAAAAGAAAAAGAAAAAAAGAATAGCATAACCCCAATGGCAATTGCTTCCTTTGAAGCAATCGTCCTAATATTTCCCTGTCCCTACAAAAGGATTATTTATGCATGATGTGGCAGGAGCTAAGAGAACTAGGTTTGCGAAAGTAATTATGGTGCTAGGAATGTATCAGCCTCTCAGATGTTACTGAGGTTGCCCATTCTATCCTACTACAGGAGAAGTACCAGTTACTGTTTTTTTTTGTTTTTTTTTTACTGGCTACCTTAAGAAAAAAATTACTTTTTGTTGATCTTTCGTGGTTTAACTTTTTAATGGAATAGAAAATAATACTTAGCATCCAGTAAGTTATGCTTTTAAATTTTTAGAAAACTCTTGTGTATTTTTAAGCTGCTGATTTGTAATATATACATCTATCAGGTACAAAGTGATATTTTGGTTTGTGAATACAACGTTTATTAGTGAAATCAAGCTTGTTAACATGTCCATCACCCAAAACACTTAACAGTTTCTCAGAGTGAGAACATTTGAAATTTATTTTCAGCAGTTTTGAAATGTATAGTCCTCTATTATTAGTACTCTATTCAGCACACTGTGCAATTAAAAAAAAAGATTATTTATCTTTTGTAATGTTTAGTTCTTTGTTGGCTCAATTCATTCTTTCTTTTTGAGGCAGGGTCTCACTCGGTTGCCTGGGTCAGAGTGCATAGCTCGCTGCAACCTCAAACCTCTAAGCTCAAGTGATCTTCCTGGCTTGGCCTCTGGAGAAGCTGGGACTACAGGCATGCACCACCATGTCCTACTAATTTAATTTTTTGCAGAGACTGAGTCTTACTATGTTGCTGAGCATGGTCTCGAACTCCTGGGCTCAAGGGATCCTTCTGTCTCAGCCTCTTGATGTATGAGATATTCTAATAAATCTACACTTTTTTCCTGAGAAATCTCGACCTCAGTATAAAATGAGGATGTGTTCCCAAATCTAAAGTCTATGTCTTTCTTAGCTCTTCTGAAAGCGCAAGATGATGGGAGCCTACCTATTATCTTCATCACAAGCCCCCCCTAAAAATTTATTTCAGCTTTGTGATCTAAACATTAAGTAAAAGTAAATAGTATCAACCTACTCTTCTGTCTTTAAAGTAATGTGTCCATCAGACTAGTTTTTTTTTTAATAATTTATTCATTCGCTCCAAAGACACCTTCATGGAGCAACTTCTCTGTGCCAAGACCTGTTCTCAATAGTTCTCAGGGATGAAACTGTGGACAAAACTGGGAATACTCTGCTTTCCTGGGGCTTCTACTCAGTAGAATTTAAATTATTAAAAAATGATTTCAGTATGTTTTTTTCAGTCTACTTTTAGAGAAGAATGCACTCTCTTACCTGTCCAGCATTTTGGTACTGGCCCGTTCCAGCTTCTCTAGTATCTGAGGAAGTTGGGTATCATCATCGTATGAGGCTCCCCAGCCAAGAACTCGAGCAAGGTCATTTCCTGTACCCAAAGGCAGTACGCCCACCTGACACTAAGAGACAGCACAACAGGAAGACCTTCAGACAAGTTAAAAAATAAAGGCAATGCGTTTCTGTCCCTCCCCAGTAAATATGTTAGCGTGCATTCATGTTAACTAGCCATAAAAAGAATTAGCACTTGCCCGTTTATTCAAGTTGAGCTTATCAATTTCTGACAAAACCCAACCCACACTTCCATCTCCTCCACAGACAAGGATCCGGAAATTGTCAAACTCCTGAAATAATCTTAAGCTGAAAGTAAAATGCATTTTAAGTTAGTTAAATAAATAAAAATCATTTCCCTCAATTCTTTGATATTCTGTATTTATTGGTATTCATTCGCGTTCAGATTAAGTACATGGGTCATTATGAAAGTTTTAGCATAAACAAAAATAAATCGAGAAACTTAACATCTGAACAGATGGAGACAAATGAAGCCCTCCCAACAACACTGATCAGCTGAGCGAGCTGAAACTTGCATGGTGCAGTGGACTGTGCTTCTTGGGAGTGAAATAATGCACCATAACACAGTCCATCTCAAAACTTTCGTAGTGACACTCCTATAAGAACTCTTCCTTACATATTAATTGTGCTGTAAACATTAATGTAGGTGTAATTTTAACTCAAGAAAACTTCTAAACCATAAGCAGGAAAGAGAATTCCAAGGAGAAATGAAAACAAAATTAGGAGGAAAGAGGGAATAAGGAAACAAAAAAGAAGCAGAAGCTGGGAAAAGGAAAGTTATATAAAACGGTGAAAGTAGCAGTTTTTCTCTTTCCATCACAAGGACAAGCTATTTCTTTAAACCAGTGGTGGGGAATCCAGAGTGCTGATGCTAATGAGAGGCAGTGTCCAGCTCATTCAACTCCCTTTTTATCTCCCTCTTCTCCTAGTCTCAGGCCAATCCTTTCCTCCTATCTTCCTTCATCTCAGTCTTGACACATCCTGTGTCCTAAAAGTATCTTTGTACCCTTCAGGTATTGTGGAAAATCTGAAAATGTATTAGAGGATCAATCTCAAGAAGTTTCACGAAGAGAGATCCTCGGAGTCCTAGAGGATGAATGGGGGAAAAAATGGGAACAAATAAGTTCCAAGAGTATGGAACTACAAAGGATTATAAAGCAGATGTGTTAGAAAAGGGGACAAAAGGCTTGGCACCTGTGGCTCAAGTGGCTAAGGCGCCAGCCACGTACACCTAAGGTGGCAGGTTTGAATCCAGCCCAGGCCCGCCAAACAACAATGATGGCTGCAACCAAAAAAAAATTGCTGGGTGCTGTGGCAGGTGCCTGTGGTCCCAGCTACTTGGGAGGCTGAGGCAGGAGCCTCGCTTGAGCCCAGAAGTTGGAGTTTGCTGTGAGCTGTGATGTCAAGGCACTCTACCCAGGGGGACAGCTTGAGGCTCTGTCTCAAAAAAAAAAAAAAGAAAGGGGGACAAAAATACCCCAGAATGGGTGAGAAGGGAGGCTAGCTGAGGAAACGCTAGCACCCCTGCAGAGGAAAGGGGAGATGTGTAGGTCAGTAAGACCAACACCCACGCAACAAGGAGGGGCCCAGACTTGGCAAGAAAAAGGCTCCAGAAACAGGAAGGAGGGTCCTGAAGGGACAACAATGAAAAAAGGCACAGAGACAGAGGAAAATGACACACAGAACATAAAATGACTTTTCAGGCTCTAATTCTAATTCTGTGTTCGTGCTTTAAGGTAATAAAAGAATCCAAGAGAAAAGCTCAGTTGGCCTAAGTAAATCACAGGGAGATTGAAGACCTCAGTCAGAAGACATAATAGCACCTCTCAAGAAAGATCATATGGGGCAGTGCCTGTGGCTCAAAGGAGCAGGGCACTGCCTCCATATGTAGGAGGTGGTGGGTTCAAACCCAGCCCCTGTCAAAAACTGCAAAAGAAAAAAAAAAGAAAAAAGGAAAATCGTATACATGCAATAAAAACATATTTAAAATTCCTCAAGGAATATTTCCCTCAATGAAAATATTTAGTTCAATTTTTTTTCATACTTTAACTAATACGACATTTCAGAAAGGTAAAAGAACAGTCAACAAAAGTGTTTCTTTGTTATTTCATATGAACTGAATCAGAAACCCTTGAAGAACTGGCCTTGGGATTCACACCTGGACCTTACTATGGTGAAATAACTGATTACTTACACTGCATATAAATTAATATTAGTCTTCCATGCAAATCATTTTCTAATGTTATTTATTTTTTGTATTCTATATTTATGCAAGTTCATCTTTGTTGAAGCTAAACAATCACTATTGTTTGATACAGGATACAATCTAAAACATTTTTTAAACACCTTTTCGACCTTGTCAATTTCAATATACATTCTGGAATTTATATAAGGCAGTTGTAGAACTATCAAAAAGTTTCTGTTAAAACTTATAATTAGAGCTTTAAAATGGGAGGGAGTCTAGGAGAATCTACAATTTTCACAAGCTGAAAAACCCATACACATTTCATGACCCCTGTACATTTCATTCAAATATGGTTAATCAATAATCAATTACCCTAAATGAGGACCTCCATTCGTTAAATCAAACACCTGAGCTGGATTTAGCAACTGTTTAAAACGACGCAGGAACTTTACTCCCTGATTATCTCCACTCTTAGAGTTGACAAAAACCAACAGGGGACTAGTACAGAATGAAAAGCCACAAGCATAGGTGACTCTACAGAAACCTGCAAAAAAAAAAAAAAAGAAAGAAAATACGGTAAAAGTTCAATACAGATAGCTTTCTCTTTTAAATTACTAACAAATAATCATTAGAGAAAAGAAGATGAATTCATAAAGGCAAAGAACCTTGTTTATTACTGAAACATTAAGTTACAATTAAGCTTCCACAATGGAGGCAGATGAATCATTTACATACTAAGAACATAGATTTAGGCTGGGTGCGGTGTCTCATGCCTGTAATTCCAGCACTCCGGGAGGCTGAGGTGAGCAAATTGCTTGTGCTCAGAGTTTGAGACCAGCCTGAGCAAGAGCAAAATCCCGTCTCTAAAAATAGCCAGGCTTTGTGGCAGGTGCCTGTAGTCCCAGCTACTTGGGAGGCTGCAGCAAGAGAATCACTTGAGCCCAAGAGTTTGAAATTGCTAGGAGCTATGACACCATGGCACTCTACCAAGGTCGACAAAGTGAGACTCTGTCTCAAGAAAAAAGAACATAGAACTTATATTTTTTGAAAGATGCTCTACAATAAAAATCATACCAAAGCTGATAAAAGTATACTAATCACAGATAATTTGAGGTATACCACTTGCCTTTGCTAGACTTAATTATAATCAAACTAATCAAAGCCTGTAAATTCACATTTGTCAAGGAATTCATATGTTCATCTTCGGTGTTTTAAAATACTGTAACTTGCTTTCCTAAAGACTGAGAAAAAGTTTTTTAAATTTATAGTCAACAAAAGAAACATATTAAGGTGGGGGAGATGGCTATTAATAGCACAGGTTAAAAAAGTCACATCTTTTCAGATTTATATCTTTATATTTAAGATACCTATTGGCATAAATTATACAAAAAATTTAAAAAGCACGAAGAATGATGTCAATGGAGGACGTTAAAAATAGTACAGTTCTCCTGTGGTATCCATGGGGAATTGGCTCTAAGACCTCGTGGATACCAAAATCCACAGTTGTTCAAGTCTCTTATATAAAACGGCATTTTAAATGGCAAAAGCTTTTTGTAATATGGCTTGC